TCCCCCATCTCACAGTTACAGATCCATTGCCCAACATGAAGGTTGAGCGGTGAAAATTTGATGAAAGCCATGGAAGACGACACGCATTGTGTTGTATATAAGTGAGAGACCTTTTAGTTCTACCGGCTGAATGAATTTGATAAAATCAACCTTTGAACTAGTCCATGGATTTGTTTTCTCTGTTAATTTCCATTTTATGTCCTACGAAATATTGTACTTGATTAATCTGTATTCCAATTCTTTAGCATTCCCCCATTGACGTACCTGTGGAGCATCCAAGTCTTGATCGAAGCACGACGATACTTGTATTGTATTGTATAGGAATGTACGATAATTCGATTTAGTTTATAAAACTTGTGAAGATGTTTGTTGGATTTTGCACTTTCCTCAATCAAGACTCACATTATTTTACCTATATGCGTCCAAAATCAATTTCTCTGTAATGATATGGTCAATTGTCATAGTAATTAAATCATTGAAATCGCGTTATCTGTACTTGTTTGTGTTTGATGGTTGTGTCAGCCAGCTGTCAGAGTGGGGACTAGCATCTTTCAGAAATCTTAAGACAGATAGATAACGACAAGATATCAACAAAATTTTTGGTTGGAGTGCAAGAGTTTCTGTTCCTATTATTATTAGTATTTGTATTATTATTATTATTATTGATTTCACAGATTAACCTCTCTTTTATTTATTTATTTTTTTTCAATAAGAAACTCAATAAAATCCAGAAAGGTAGATACAATGTCCTCTAGAGAATCCCCAGGTTCATACCTCTATTATTGTCATAAAATATTTATAAAAAATTGTAACAAGTTATGTAAATTTTTCGTTCTAGTTAATCATGCGAAATCAAGTTGGTGAATTAATATATTTTAATATAATTTTTTCTTAAATTTTATTTAATAATATTAAATAAATAGTTGTTCAAATTAATATAATTTACCATTTAAAAGATAATGATCAGATACATTAAATAGCTTTACTAATGACCAGATAACAAAATTAAAATATATTAACTTATCTTTAGAATTTTTTTATGTGACTTATTTGTATATTATTGTCAACCATGATTAATTTTTTATTATATTTTTATATCGATTTCTTTTCATAATAACATTAGTGTAAAATATATTTTCATTGTATAGTATGCTATATAAATTTTAAGGATGAAAATTAGAAAAAAAAAATTCTAGATTGTAGAAAGAATTGACTTTTTGATAATTGCAAATCAAAGTTGTTTAATTATTATGAAAAATAATTAAATTCTAATGTATAATGGATAAAAAACTTTAGAATGACTATTTAATTAATTTGTCAATTAACAAAAATAAACCTACAATGTGTTACTTTTATCAATATGACCGAATTATTTTTTTCCTTTTTTTACAAATTAATTCTNTTTCTAGTTATTATGGGATACAATAAATACTAAAAAATTGATAGACTCACACATGTGTATATTTTGTAAAACATTTATATACAATATTTTATTTTATATTTATTTACATAATTTTAAATTAATTATATTAATAATAATTATTAATGTACATTAAAGACTTTTCATTAGATAAAATAAAAAAAAGACTAGTTAAATAACTTTTATAAATAGTTACAATGACATTATATGAAACAAACTTCACAATAATATAATAATTGAGTATTATATAGTGAACAATAATAAATAATTTTTTTTCTTATATCAAGAAAAAAATATACTAAAATCAATCTTATATGAGTATAAAGTGTTAGCGAGATAATATATTAATTAATTTATAGGCTTGAACTAAGTTATGCCTAAAAAAATACTGATTAAAACAGGTGGAGAATAATTTATTTAACAATTATATATCATGCCTCGCACGAGCTATGTAAACTAGTTTATACACTCTAAGAGCTTCTATTCCTATTATTATTATTATTATTATTATTATTATTATTAGGATTATTATTTTGTCAACTCTAATTAGTACATGGTAACCTCAGGGTAGTCACCTTATAGAATAAAGAGGATTTTCAAATAAAATTTGACCTTTCCTTTTCGAATTCCAACATCAATCACTTAATTAAGCTTTATGCGCACTTGGCCGAGTCGTAAATTCGTATATAATAAACATAAAGTTGTTTGTTGATTGATAGTGAGATAAGGATGATGATGATAAATTGATTATAATAATATACGAAATTTTTAAGAGGACCCACCATGATTATTAGCCAATAAGTCGTAGGATTCAAGAGTATAAGGACGGTGTAATGTACCTCAGATTGCATATGCAATCAGAAGCTAGAGATTTATTTTTACTTCGGCACACACTAACATATATACCTGTACACATTAATGGTATGATTAGATAGGATTTGAATGATTTTTTATTAATTTTTTAACTATAGTTAGTTTTAAAAAATATAGTATGATTAGTTGTTAGTAGAAATTTAAATTTAAACTAAAATAATAATTAAAATATAAAAGTATGAGAAAAATGATTGAAAAATGTGGTTAGTTAATATTATGTTAGATGAATAGTGAATTAAAATTGATGCGACATGTAAGAATGATTGATTAATATTATTTAATTATATTGATAATATTGAGTAGAGAAATGCTATAAGTACATAATACTGTACATAGAGTTGTACATAGCTCTCACATAAATGGGTCCTACTAAAAATAAAAAATCAAGTGGACCCACTACATGTGAGTGTTATGTACACCTTTATGTACATTTATGATGTACTTGTAGTATTTTTCTATTGAGTATAGTGTGATTGAATTAAAGTTGAATTAAATTTGTGTTTTAATTAGTTATTATTATTATTATTATTATTATTATTATTATTAATTTATATCCAATCACACCCTAAATGTTCATTCACTTAATAAATGTGGACAAAAAAAATCCCAGGTTGTCACTGGTAAACTTTATGATTAGACGCAATGAATCTGTAATTTAAAATTTTGGTTGGCAATATATATAAATAAATAAAAGGTGGAAAATGTTAAGTAATTGTGGGTGTATTTGCAATGTATATGAAAAGATGCCCTTAGTGATAAATTAATCATTTGTGAGGAGTGGTTAGTGAAAAATCAATTTTCTTTATGTGGAGTGGAGGTGTTCAACAAAAGATTGTTGCTATTTCAATTATTTTATATTTTTATGGGGGCTCCATTATTGATTACAACGACTTAATTATTGTCTGAAAGATTCTTTGAAAATGATCTTTTTTCTGTATGAGTTAAACAACATACATTATTCTAATAATTTAAACTAGGTTATGGTTGATTATTAGACTTGTCTTCTACAAATAGTAAAGAATGCGCACAATCATACACGAAAATATGTCTCGCTATTTGAATTTATAAACATTTATTTATTTGTTTAGAATTAAAAGTAGTATTTTTCCCTAGAGCTTTCCCTTACAGTCTAAGAAAACTTAGTGAGTTTCCAATGACATGATAAAGGAGGACGCCAAACCGAAACTAGAGAAACCTTTGATAGGAATAATACGTTGTCTTTGAGAAATTGTCCTTCTCTACCATGCTGTAGAAAGAATTTAATTTCAGCATTTAAGTTATTATATATGTATGGATATTCTTTTTTTTTTTTTTTTTTTTTTTTTTTTTTTTAATTAAAGTCGTTATTTGGAAAAATTTGCATTTTATCTATTCTGGTACATTGGTAGGCAACTTGAATACTCTTATTCCAATTTAACCCAGAGTGCAACAAATGAAATTTAACAATACGTCTTCTAACTTTCATAAGATAATAAGACCAAACATATATTTTGAGTCTATGATTGTCATTTTAACTTGAGTATGATTCAATGTTTGATAACTGATGGAGCTTTGGGTTCGTTAGAAGTTGAAAATTTTCGTCCTGTGAGCCTTGCTTAGAAAGTACAATGACCAAAAAGAACTTTAAGACAAAGAGGTATATATCTAAAGAAGTGTTGGAATTTATTCTGAAACGTAGGTATTTTACGATTAGTGCGCTCAACATTATTAGAACACAAATAAACAAGTAGAATAGCGGAAGCAATAACCGAAGATTTAAAAAACTCTTCAGGGAAGCGTCCCACTTCCGCTCAGAGCTCTTTCATTGATAACTCGATTGTGCACATGCGTATAGTTTTGGAATTACAGCAACTAGAACTCCCTTCTAGCCTAACCAACAACTATACTCAAATCTACCAACTACTTCTCCGGCCACGTCCCGTGGACTTTAACTCTCGAATCCCTCGAGCTAAAAACAACACTTAATCCCTAAGTACTGATCACAAAAGTGTTTGAATGAAAAACAAAAGAATCAAAATAAAAGGCTTCAGTTCTTCAATGTCGTAAGAACACTGAAAACTGAACAATGAAAACAAAACCTAAAAGGCTTGAAGCTCGAATATTGAATGGAAGATAATGACCTCAACAGCCTTGATTCGACCTTCAAGTAGGGTATATATACAACTCCATGGGCTTGGAGTCTTCTCCAAGTTTTTTTCTTCTTTCACGATCTCCTTTGATCTTCTTCCCAGAAATAGTGTAGTAACATGGAAAGTAAATCTTCCTTGATTGTATGTGATTTAGAGATCTTCAAAATTGAGTTTCCAATGAAAATCTCATGGTTCCAGACTCGTGTAAGAACACAACTTTCCTAAAATAGCCGATCTTCCAAATCTTCAAAGATCTTGTGGTGAATCTTTTCAAATCCTCCTTGGATCTTCTAGAGAACGTCCAAAATTCCTTATGCACGAATTGGTCATCCTTTCATAGTCTTTGCCATCTATTCCTTGTCCTACAAGAAAGAGAAAACTAATGATGGCATAGAATCAAGCTCATTAATGCATGTGGCATATATGGTAAGTAAATATAGAAGATATATATATTATGTAATCCTTCTTCTAAAGGTTTAGGACTCCATAATACACATTATAATAAATATATAACATATATTAATATTAATAAATAATAGGAACTTAATTAATTAACAAGTAAATAAATAGAAAACTTCCCTTTAATTTATTTTGTTTGCCTAACAAGAAAATCTTCTAGAAAACACTTAGGTTTTTCGAATGATGCCAAACCAATATTCTTACAGATTCATTATGACTGGTGCGGTCCTATGTTTATCAGACAATAGGTGCTTTTGAATTTTCTCGTCGTGTCTGTTGATGATTATTCAATATATGGGATGTCTATTATGCGTCATGCTTTGATAAACTCAATGAGTACAAGCCTACATAGAGAAGCAACTTGAAAAATGCATCAAGATACTATGATTTGATTGTGGTGGCGAGTACCTCTTGGGAAATTTTAGGAGTTACTTATCATAAGTTGGGATTGATCAATCCC